CCTTTGTGTAATATATATATATATATAATATATATATAATATATATATATATATATATTATATATATATATATATATATATATTAGTGCTGAAGCTATAGGAGGCAATGGTGATGCGCTGTGATGTGAAATTATATATTGTGATTGAATGTTGATGTCAATAATGACGATGGATAGTTAACAAATGAATGTTTATATATAGCAAAAAGGATGAATGGTTGTAATCTCCAATGCTTATAAGTGGAATTCATAAAAATAAAGTATATTGAATGGGGATTGAATAAACGTGGGAGCTCTTCACTCTTGTTCTTTGCAAAAAAAACTGTTAGATTATGCCTGTTGTTTCTTAATATAGTATCTGCCTTTTGGGAATTGTGGAGCACCAGTTTTCATTGTATCTAGTCTTATTTATATTTGTATAAATAGCTCTCTCTCTCTCTCTCTCTCTCCTCTCTCTCTCTCTCTCTCTCTCTCTCTCTCTTCTCTCTCTCTCTCTCTCTCTCTCTTCTCTCCTCTCTTCTCTCAATGCGATCTTCTCTCATCTCTCCTCTNGAGGGGGGGGAAGGGAGAGAGGAGATGGAAACGGGGGCCGAGCTGGAGGTGGTGCAGACGGGGAGGAGGGAGGGAGGGGGAGGGGGAGGAGGAGGTATATAGCAAGTCTGGGCGCGAGGAAGCGAGTTCAGTGTGGCTCGGACAGTGAAAGGTGGTGTATCGGACTTCTCTCGTCCCGCTCTGTCACTGGTAGCCTGTCGCGGTGATAATACAAAGGGGAATTTCAAGGGAAAAAATAAGCAAATGGCTCATTATATTTTGCATTTAATGATTGCTATAATCAGCGCCTGTACCTGCTCGATTTATCTTGTAGGGGAAACGAGAGCGTAAAATTTCAGGCGAAGGAGAGAAAAGCGAAATAGTGACGGTATAGTTCAGAAATTAAATTAAATGGCTAGATGAGAAGAGAGACAAGATCGCTGAATTATTTTTAAAATAGAAAATCAGCGAAACTTTTGGAAAATGTGACGTAGACTATAAATGGACATTATTTTGAATTAGATTTTGATTTATTAATTCTCATGTCCAGACATTTGCGAATTCCATGTTTTCAATAGAATTCCCCCCCAGCTTTTCTGTACTAGAAAATGGAAAATCATTGTTAAAACCATTTCATTTCACATTTTCCATTTCTCGAACCTGAAAAATAGCGATTCTCTTCAACATTTTACATTCCTAATTTACGTATTTCTGATAATTATATTTCGAATGAGTGGCTCTCACACTCGTATACTACCGATTTGATGTATACTGCATGTGCATTGCTCAAATCACGAATGAATAAATACATTTTCTACATCGCGGACCTATAAAGGATTCCAGATTCGAAATCTAATGGAAGGGGAAAGATTAATTAAAAGCCAGCTAATGTATAAGCGAGTTATTGCAGTTAAAATAAGCTGGCAATGACTATCACTGATGTTTTCATGTTGCAAATGTGTCTGCAGTCATTAAGAGCTATTGAATCAAGCTGATATTTAATGAAGCATTGATTATATTGATACTGACAGGGATGATCCATGCTGATTAAGTAGTACATATTGTCAATTTTTAAAAGTCTTTATATACTCTTTCATTCATTCTTTCTTTCCTTCCTTCTATAGTTCTATATTTCTAACTTTTGTTCTTTCGTTTTATCTGTCTGTCTGTTTGTCTCTGTCTCTCTGTCTGTCTGTCTGTCTGTCTGTCTGTCTCTCTGTCTGTCTCTTCCTCTCTCTCCCTCCCCCCTCCCCTCTCTCTCTCTCTTTCTCTCTCTCTCTCATTCACTCACTCACACCTTCATTTACTCTCTCTCTCTC